TTAACAGATTGTGTTAATTTTCCGTGGACTCTTAATTTTTATATTCATTTAAAAATGTTTGTGAGACCCACTAAGTTTGACCTCCCAAAAACAATTAATAGAACAATAAGTGAAAAAAAACTGAGGGGCCCACAAACCTAACCAGCAAAAAATTTTTACTTTTGTTTTCAGTTTCTGAAAAACAAAAAAACGAAGGGATCAAATTTATTGGATGGATCAAAACTCTTCATGGCTTCCTTCTATCTACAGAACTCGAACTTGCATAATTATGAATCATTCCTCCATCAATAGTCAGCAATGCTTCCTGATTTTGTACCAAACGCAAATGGCGTTAAGAATGGTAATTATGCTCTCGGGTTCGCGGGTTCCGGCGAACGGATTGTCCTTGTTTCAGAGGTTCTCCGGAGTCGCTGTCGACGCTGTCAGGGTGATCTCTTTTTTTAGGTCGATGTCGTAGTTATTGACCCTATTTAATTTACGCAACACATAATCAGCGGCACCGCTGGCGCCGGTAATTCCATGAGCATCTGCATTGATGCTTTACTCGATCATACTATATTTTCGTCGTTTTAGAAATACGGATAGATTTTCAATTTCATCAAACGGTGTGAACTCGAAAGACCTCTTGTATCCTATCACTCTTGATGTCCACCACCACCACGGCAAATAATATTAAGATCCTAGGTACAAGGTGTATCTAGCAGTGCGTGTATATCACCCAAAGTGAATAAAAAGTGGCCAATTTGATCCCGATTTTCATGTCTACATGCGCATCATTTAATCGTCAAAATTTTTTTAAAAAAAAAAATCCCGCAAAATCCGAATTTTAATTACGTGATCACAAAATATTATAATTGAAGAATTTAAATTTTGAAACTGTAGTTACCATTTGTAATATCGTAACGATCATTCATCTTTCAATTATTATTTGCCTTCATCTTTTTCACCAAAACTGAGTGATTTTACACCATTCAGAATACCAATATTTATTCTGAAAAATTATAAACAATGGAAGGTTTAGATTTAAACGTCAGAATTGTCAGTAATTCCGGTGAGGAGGGTTGTGATTATGATGGCGAAGGTGTTGCGAATGTTGTTGAAGATGCTGCAGACTGCGAAGGATTGTTGAATTCGTATAATGATGTTGAAGAAATCAATGATATTGATCATGTTGCTTCACCAATTTTTCTTAGTGATGATTAGATCTTTGGTTGAATTCGATGATCGTGTTTCCGAATCTTTGGAAGGTAATTTGTTCATATTTAGTATATGTTATTTTTTTCTGAATGATTGTTGCTGTGATTGGTAATGCATTTTTATAATTAACTGATGAATATTTACAGGGTACCAGTAACGTATTGTTTTTAATGAATAGAGTAACGCAAGTTATGATTTTATTGATGAATGTCATGAAGTCAATGATGTGTAATATTTTGTAACTAATGAATATTTGTCCATACATGATGAATAATTGTAGTTTATGAGTAGAGTAACGTGAAGTTCTGATGAATAGAGTTTCACTGTTGTGTCAAACGAATTTTTCACTGAATGTTATGTTTTATTTAATGAATATCAAGAAATTTCTGATGAGTAATGTGTGGTTTTTAATGAATTTTTTTTTTCACGGTTGTTTATTGGTTAATGAATTTACGTTAAGTAATGAATTTTAGAAGTGTTAGTAATGAATTTTTATTTTTTTATGATGAACAGATAATGTGCTAATTGGACGTTGTTATAACTCATTGGAAGAGGCTTTTTTTTATTATAATTCTTATGCAAAACGCATTGGGTTTTCAGCAAAAAAGTTCAAAGACAGAAAAAGGCCCAATGGTGAAGTTTATTGGAAACTGTTTGCATGTAGTAAACAAGGGGCCAAAACTTCAAAGTGTAATTGCTATACGAAGACGGATACACGTGTTGGTTTTTAGCGATGGTTGTGTTGAGGATTGATGATGAAGGTATATGGAAGGTAGTGCAGCATGTGGTTGACCATTGTCATGATCTTGTTCCTTTAAGACAGAGGCATTCGATTTGGTCTCAGAGAGAAGTTCCAGCGAATGATGTGTTGCTTTTGTCCAGTTTGAAGGATAGTGGTATTGGTCTTATCAAGGGTTTCAGTTTTTTGAGGAATCAAGCACGAGGTGTTCCTAACCTAGGCTACACCGTAACAGATGCTACGAATCAGGTTGCAGCTCATGAACGTGCTAAATGGGAAGGTGGTGATGCAAACAATCTGTTGGATTTGTTGAAGAAAAGGCAGGAGACAGAAGAAGGCTTTTATTACAACTATCTCCATGATGAAGAATGTAGGCTTTGTTGTGTTTTTTGGAGGGATTCACGTATGAAAAGAGATTATGATAATTTTGGTGATTTGGTAGTTCATGACACCACACACAGGACAACTAGATACAAACTTGTTTGTGCACCTTTTACAGGAATGAATCACCATACACAAAACATAATGTTTGGTGTAGGTTTTTTGTTACATGAAGATACCCCGTCATTTAAATGGCTTTTTGATGAATTCTTGAAGTCTATGGGTGGGAAAGAACCCACAACCATCATGACCGATCAGTGCGCTGCCATGGGTGCTGCAGTCCCTTCGATTTTCAAGAAGGCACGACATCGTCTTTGCACATGGTATATCGGTGAAAATTCGAAGAACCACATTGGCTACCTTAGGAACAAATCCGGTTTTATGGACTTATTCCAATTGGTTCTGAGGCACACTGATACAGTTGCTGAGTTTGAGTATTTTGGCGGTTGTAAGTTTCGTTTATTCATTGTTACTTCTTGAATTTTTATTTGAATAATGAATTTTTATACCTAGTTGATGAATGTGACGACTCATATTAATGATTATTGTTTCATCCTATGTAATACTGATAAGATAACGCATAACCCATTAAGACAATGAATAATCATATCATTTCACGAGCGTCGCAAGCCATTCAGATGAATAAGTTATATGATTATTCAGTACAGATTTTATGATGCATATTTGTTGTGAGATTGTTTTGTATGAGATATTTTTTGATGAATAACTATTCACAATTCGTGTTTATATTTTTTTTTAACAACCAGGATGTGTGATACTTACAATTATCACAATGATAAGTGGTTGAAAGCTAGGTATGCCTCAAGAGAGAAGTGGGGCCCTGCATTTAGCAAGTCTTTTTTTTTCGGGTGGTGCATTGTCGTCACAAAGGAGTGAAACAACAAACAGGTCAATTTCGCAATCCCTTACTAAGGCTTCTCGGTTATGCACTTCTTATGATAGGTTCAAAGAAGTAGTTGATGGTTGGAGGCAAAATGAGAATGATGAAGACAACCGTTGCAATAATGGTCGCGTTAATATGCGTTTCCCAAATAGTGATATGTGTCGGCAGGCTAGAGAATTATACACAATTCAGGCATATATTGTGTTTGAAAAAGAATTTGATGCCGCAGTTCAGTGTAATCATTGGTTTATTGGTCCTTTTAACCGTCACCCTAATATAGAGCTACATCATGTGAGGCGGATGCAAGTTGATGTGATGAATCACCAAGTTATTTTTAATGCTCGTTCGAATGAGATTAAATGCACATGCAGCAAGTTTTCAGATTCGGGGTTTTTGTGTGCTCATTGTCTTAGAGTTTACATGTTTCGTAATGTCAATCAAGTTCCAGAATGTTACATTTTGCAAAGGTTCAGAAGGAATGCAAATATAGGGTGTATTGGTGATTCTTTGGACAATGTATATGGGTCTAAATTTGATACCTCGGGTTCTTTCTTATGGAGGATCGACATGATTAAGAGGTTTATCAGCCTTTTGTCAGCTAGTGAATCATGTGACAGTGCCAAAAAAATCATTTCAGATACCATGAAAACATTGGCTGATAATGTTCGTAAGGAGGTTGGATCTTCGCTCGAAGAAACTGAAGAGGATGCGTTTGGAAACAAGGATTCTACAAGTTCAACTGTAAATATTAAAGATCCTGAGATATGGAGGCCATTGGAGGAGCGGAATGTAAGGTGGAAGAGTGCAACTGAGATAAGATCAAGAAAAGCTAGTGCAGAACATAAGAAAGGTGCAGCTTTGAGGACGAGGAAGATTATATACAAAAGGGTGAACTCTGATAACCCTGATTTTATTGGTCGTTATGCGCACCCTCTTGTTTTCAGTGGATTTGATCAGGTTAATAGTCAAGGTAGTGAATTATAGCAGAAAAACGTTTGGTTTTTGGTTGATGTATTGATGTGTTTTTTTGTGACATTGATGAACAATGAAAGCTGGAAGTACTGAAATAATTCTGTCTTGGTATTGTGAAGTTGTTTTATATATAGAAGTTGTTTTTGTGTTTTAAAGTTGGTAAGCATGTTTTAAAATGTATTAAAGGTCATATTACGTCAATGAGTAACGTTTAAAGTCGAGGAGAAGCTGGTTTTAAAATTATGGGATGTTGCGATGAATTTCATTATTATAATGATGAACAACAGTGGTTCAAATTATGAATAACCATATGAACACTTAACAATAAATGATTTTAAAATTTCTATGTTCATTCATATCTATACCTTAATTCACTAATTTATTGTTAATATTCACTATGATTTTATGGTTGTTAATATTCATCCTTTAGTTCAGATCATGTGATATAGAATGTAAATATTATGAGATATGGAAGGAAATGAACAATTATACCAGGACAGATATAATTTTATGCGTTATTGATGAACAATTAGATCTTTTTTTTTTTTGGTTTTGGTGTAGTGATTTGAAACAATATAATCCTTATGATAATTATAAACATAAAATACTAAAGCTGTCTTATATCAAATACTGTAAACAAAAAATAACATAAAATAACAAAAATTGTTCCAAATTCACTATTCAAACCTTCTGGATTCATCAAAAGATGTCTTAAAACGAAACCGCTAACCTAAATAACAAAAGTTGTTCCACATTCACTAATCAAACTATCTGGATTCAACAAAAGAACCACAACAGTTTTAGGCTCTATGGATTTCTTGCAGTGTGAATTTCTTTTATCCGCTCTGTGATGGTGATTGATTTGGTATTGATGCCCGAGGTCAGCAACTCTGTCAGGTACTTGATTCTGAGCTTATCAAGTTTGTTTTGATGTGCATCCTTTTGTCTCTGAAAATAGAATTGACGAATAACAATTAATAAAGAATAATTTTCTTATGTGTCAACTAATATTATCAGTATTAATCGTACGTATAATTACCGTTGTTTTGCCGATTGGGGGGATTCCACAGTTGTAGCCTTCAACGCCCGCTTTGTAAGTCTTCATGTGGCACATCATGTATACCGCACAGTCCGTTTTATTTTCACTGTTGCTCCATGGAAGATGAACAATATTTGGCTCTTTCAGTTTTCTGAGTCTATCACAAGCAGTTATCGCCCTTTGTGATTTAGCATACCTGGCTAAAGCTTCAACCTGTTCATAAACATTTAAAGCAGTGCCAAGATTCATTATTTCAAGATAGTTATTCATCAGTAAAGCATTATTTACTCATACACATAATACATAATATTTTACCAAAAAATTATAGGTTTCTCCATATTTGGCTACAAATGGAATATTATGTTTGATAGCTGTATCCATGTTGTCCAGCACTTCCACGCGGCCGTCTAGCATGTTGAACACATAGAGGTAATAATGTTCGTTTGCAAGTACAAGGACAAACAGCTGCATGTTTCGTGTTGTTAGTAAAAGTTTTAATTTGTATGAAAGATAAAATTCCAACATTATATGATATTGATATTCATCATAGAAATCATAAACTGCAATCGTAAGTATTTACTTGTACTTGATAAGAATTATCAAAGTTCATTAATAACCACACACTACTCATCAGTAACTTAATGATATTCATCAAACAAACCATAACATGGATTGTACTTTTTGTTTTTCACATTATAACTATTTAGTTTATGTACTTACTTGCTTAGCATTATCAAACTGCGAATTGCTGATGTTTTGGCATTGCAGCTCATAACCAATTCTGTAAACTGCATCTTCAAAGCATTTCTCCGACGGCATCTTATTGATATTACTAGGCATTTGTGCCTGTTAATGAGCGGAGCATATTTGACATTAATATAAAAAATCAGCTGCATAACTTAAACTGATAGCTGATTATTTTAAATTTATGATGAACAATCTTACCGATATAACGGATGAAAAATATATGTTGGGATATTTGGTCCTTTCTCTGGGTGCTAAATGGTTCAGGTGGGCTGCCCAAGCATCAACTATTTCATTACTTATTTGCACTCTAGGCATCATTGTTTTGATTTGATGACGTTGGACGAAATAGTATTCGACTCTGGGTTCTTTATCTTCTCCTGGCATCTCAAACAGAGTTTCTCTGCATATGATAGATGTAAGACGTAAATAAAATGTATGTGATCAACAAAGCCTATTTTTTAAAGATGAATAACAGTGAAAATATCATAGATTGGCATCGTAGAAGGGTTTGTACATGTCGTTGTCATCCGCAAATGCGTAATTAGATATGAGCCTTTCAATTTCAGTGATTCCTTTGATTCCATTTCCACCATTTTTCCAGAATGATGACTTATCAGTTATTTTAAGTTCTTCTCTTTTTTTCCTTTGGTCTTGCTTTTTCCTGCTGAGAACACTACAACAATACAGGATGAATAATGTTATGTAAATAATGATTATCCAACTCCAACTGTTGAATATTAGAAGTGTAAATTAATAAACAGAGTAGTATACCTATCGATATACTCTTTTATCTCTTCTTCACTAACACTTTGCTGATTTGTGTTATCACCTGTACTGTCATTTACCTTTTGGGGTGTAGAGTAATTAGTTGTTGCACCTTGTATGACGCTCTCTAGGATTTTCTTCTCGACGGTATTCAATCCTTCAGTCTCGTTTACTTTAGGCTGTACCACTTTAGATTGGCTTGCTGTAGATTTGATTGTATCTTTAAAAATGGTGATCGCATAAAGTAATTATGCATGAACATAAGGTACATGATGAACATAACAACAAATTTTACACGATGCAAAAAAACAGATACATGATGAACATTAAAAATTTCAGAAGATGATTAGCAATTATAAGAATACCTTCAAACTCCAACTGGATAAGCCCAATACTCCAGTGTGGTTGTGATGAAATCACATCATCATCACCCTTCTCCTACTGCTTATCGGCAGGTTTTGATGATTTTAATGCATCTTCTATGAAGCTCTCAAACTTTTTTAAGCATTCAATCATCTCTTCACTGTTGCACCAAGCATCCAATTGGCTTTCTGTGTCAATTCCTTTCCCCAAAAAATTGTCATTTTCTGCTTGCTGTTGTTGTCCTTCATTTCTTTGTTCCTCATTAACATTGTCAGGAGCTTTGGCAGTTTCAACAACCATGTTGTTGATTGTCTTTGTGTAGTTGAAGAATAATCTCGCTAGCTCAGATTGGCTGCTAATTCCTGCAGATTTTGCTTCTTCAAATAATTTTCCAAGTTTTAATAGCAATGGCCCCATATCATTGATCATCATGACCTGAAACCTTTCGGCCAAATCCAGTTCCTACAATAGGTTTTGTACTTTGGTTACTAATATGTTACTCATTAATGGAAATGCTATATTTAGGTACTGTACCTTTACATTCTGCTGTTGTTCAGTTATTGGTTAGGGGTTTGATGTTGGATCTATAGGCTTTTGGTGAATAATACCACTCCCGAAACCATTTCCCTTTCTCTCGTGTGCTGCCCTTTTATTCACATCATCAGTCGTCCAATGAGCAATTACTGGGAATTTGCGTGATCTTTTATATTTTGAATCGGGTATGACACGATCCATGTATGCGAGCTGCAAAATGTTTTGTAAGAAATTAAAACAGATGAATAACTATATGTTATAAATGAATATCAATGAACAACTGAAGAAGTAAATATCAGCTTGTTATTTACCACAACAAAGACTAGTGGCCCTGTATAATGCCCTGGATTCCTTTTCCATTCCAACACCGTGAACTTAAGTGTTGTAATGATGTATTCACACCATTTCAATTCTTTGATCTGATCTACATTTATCAGGGAGTTCATCAGCTGAAAACGACAGTCCAGAGATCTTGTTCTCCAGAATATACTGGATACAACTCTGATGACGAACCATCTTTTGAACTTATCTCCATATCTACGGTCTGTAAAAGTTGCCGGGTCTGGTTCCACTCTTTTTTTCATCCTCCCGCCAACCAGATAGTTCAACAGTCTATTTGCTGGTGGACCTCCTTTGCCTATATCTAAACCAAATGTTATTCTCATTTCATCAACCAGCCTTGTGTACTCTTCACTCCCTTTTCCTTCAACGTAGTCTACCATTTCATACCGACCTCGTGGTAATCCTAGTACGGCCTCCACATCTGTCTCATCTATTGTCAGCTGTTGGTTTCCTTGAATTATCATCCGTGAAAATTGGGGACTGTTTAATTACGGTGATAAAAAGATAACATTAATAATAATGGTTGATGCCTTTCAACTAATGAATATACATAAACGAAGTGATGAATATACATAAACGAAGTGATGAATAATGTAATATTGTTGAGAAGGTATTACTCACTCGTAGTTGTCCAGAAGGTATTTGCACAAATCTGGGTCATCAAATCTCTCAAATTTGATATCCAGAGGTGCCCAAACCCGATTTCTCGGACAGCTTTTTTTTGTAGGTTATCCAGTTTTGCAACAAAATCGCATACAACATGGGGTGAAACTCTATTTAGGAACGGGTTACCTTCATCTTGCCTGCTTTTCCTCTTTTTAGGCTAGCCCTTCTGTGCTGTTTTGGCTTTTGGGGTACCTTTTGGTCCTCTGGACAAAAAAATATATATAAACCCCTCAATATACGTTATATAATTTATGTCAGACTGGAAAATCAATGAATAAAGTATCACAAATAATGCATACTGATGTGTAACAGTTGAATAATGATATTATCACTTATCCATAAAGATATATTACCTTTGTGCTTTAGTACGTTTCCCAGATTCCTTTTGTGTTCGTTGTGAAACTTCTTTTTGCTGTTGTCCAGGTGTTTTGCCCGTTTGTTGGACTCTTTTCCTTTTAGGATTGCTTTTGTCACTGGTTCACGAATAATAATTGCATGATTATCTGTATCGATTTGAAAATGAGGCATAACAAGTTATTACTAATGATGAATGATGAATGGTAACAAATAAGTATTACCTTTTTTCAACATCGGATTGACTCCTGTTCCGCTTAGTTCCCTGTCTCTCTATTTGTATCATTACATCCACCGATTCTGTACGTATTTCATCTCCAGATATCCTGCTTTGTTGAGGAGCTTTATCAAGATTTGTTTTTTCGTTGCTGCATGACGGTTAGTTTCGGATTTGTTTTTTCGTTGCTGCATGACGGTTAGTTTCGGTTAAGCATTATATTCCAACATTTATTGTTAGTTTGAATTTCAATGTCAATGAATGAATATGTACATCAAATGAATATATGGGATTAGATGATGAATTATATTTTATCACATGATTTACGTTTGTGAAAGCATGAACAACAAATACACGATGAATAATGACATTGACATGATGAATTATGACTCTGGTATAATGAATGCTATTATTATCTTTTAACATTTTATCAAATTCACCATAAAACGCAAAAATAGTTAAATCATTGATGAAGTATCGTACTAAAGAGGATGAATAATTATACAAACCCGATGAATAATGTACAAATCTCATAATCTTACAAGAATCATCACATTGTCGACGAACTATATGAGATTGACAGGAGTTTAATGATGATTAATGATATTCTTTTGATGAATAATTATACCCAAATGAGAAATACCCTCAGATCTATTAACAGTTCATCAAATCTACTGGAAAAGGCCAAACATGGTTATAAAAAGTGATGAATAAACATGTTTATTGTCGAATAATGAGCTGTAAACTGATGAATAATACATAAATCTAATCAATCTTTACCAAAATGAACCACAAACAGATGAACAACACTATTAAATTGATGAACAACAACAGTAATCGAATGAATTATCTTAAATTTACATAACCTATCAGATCTATTAACAGTTCAACAACAGTGTTACCTTACAAATGCATCAGAATCCGAATAAGAATAAACGATATTTGCTTTCTGCATAAAAGTTTTGGATAAAAAATCAATATTCAAACCTCATAAATTAAAAAACAAACAAACAGATGAAAACCTGCAGAATTTAACCGTAGTTTACCCGAATTTTCATTTCCTAGTAACCACGAACAATTGGTTTGTTGATACCCTCTGGTTCTTTATCGTAATCTCCGCCGCTCAAGTTTATGTTTTTGTATCGTCGGAGGAGTGAATTTTTGGTTTTTCTCGGATGTTTTAGTTTGAGACGGAATGGATTGAAATGAATAGGAAGTTGGGTTTGGGTAATGGCCGGAATTTTGGAGATAATGGCGGTTTTCGATTTTTGAAATCAGAAAGGTTGTGAATTGCAGGGGTTTTAATGTGCGCGTGTAACTCACTCAATGGCAAGGCATAAATTGTAAATAGTTAAACTTGCCCTCATTTCGGGCGCATTTCTTACACACTAGGTACACCTTGCTAGGTGTACCTAGGATCCCTATACTATAATTGCCACCACCACCGTCACCGCCGCCGTCATCACCACCATGCACAGCCTCTTTTTCAAAACTCGGATGCCAAGTTCCACATCCGGGCACCACCAATCGACGATTATTATTATCATCATCATTAGAAGTAGCGGGGCTTGGTGAATACGTGAGCATAATAATGGTTTGACAAGGAATACCTGGGTTTGATTGGCTCCTTCAGAATTTTCCATCGGAAAGGTTCTCACCAGTTCTTTTTGGGAAAGAATAAGTCCCGACCAGCCGGGATATTGCCGTTGACGTGACCGTATATATCTACTTCGGTTACGAGGTGGGATTCCCAGGCGGCTTGGAGGTGTGCCTGACTCAAATTTTGTTCTTCAGGAAATACCCAATTAATTCCTCATCTTTGGGATTCAGATTGAATCGTCTCTTTTTTTTGTTCGATTTTTTTCAGAAACAAAAAAGAAAATGGAATTTTTTGCTGGTTAGAGTTTGTCTGCCCCCAGTTAGGAAAAAAATAATTAAAAATAAAAATCAACGGAGGAAAGGGGTTGACCCGTTAGTTAACTAAAAATTATGTTAAATTAACCAAAGTTAATGATAAAAATATTTTAAGGAACTATTTTTATCATTTGAAAATACATAGTGACTCGATGCTACCCTCAATAAATAGGGGACGAAAAGTGCATCCGATCCTTTGTGGAATAATGCATAACTTTTTACTGTAGTATTGATTTCTTTGAATTCTAGTGGGTTAATTGATCTATCGGCTAGCTTCATATTGAATCATTGAAATGAAACACTTCGTGTGCGGATATGATTTGTTCGCGTGCTTTTAGTTTTCTGGTTTTTCCTTAAGGCCACAAAAAGAGTTGTTCTTGATCCAATCAATGATCAATTCCTGAAACATTAGTGTAGTAGCTAAAAGCACTAAGGGGGGAGATTGAAATGTGCTCCATTTGGAGCTTAGAAAGTGACAATGGCTAAGGGGAATTTGAGGATTCAAACTGGAAAAGAAAATACTCCCTCCGTCCCATAATTATTGTCCAGTTTAGGTTTTCATTTCTAGTTCAAATTGTACTAAAAGTGAAATCTCAAACTGGACAATAATTTTGGGACAGAGGGAGTAATAATAATAGGTAGGAAAACCAACTTTTGTTGCATGGTTCTATAGCTTTCATCAGTATATTGTAAACAGTTTGGCAATAATTGGATTACCAAGGTGAGTCTTTAGAATCCTTTTGAAAGGGTAGGAGGATGAATGATTTATGCTGGAAACTCTCGTTGTTCCATAGGGAAAAAAGAATAAACCTTTACTCTTTAGCTGTATTTTCTTTCAAACTCCCTTCAAAATATCGAGATAAGGGAATTTCGTCGTGGGAATATTCTTTTTTAGAATCAAGGCCTTGTGGAGAAATTGATATTGTCTTGTCATTTTCAAGCTTATTTTTTATTTTGTTTTTTCATCACTAAAAAAATTAAACTTGTAAACTCTCTTCCAGGCATCAGATATTGAGATCTTTCAGCCTTTGTATGTGCATTGGATAGTAAAATAATAAGTATGTTTATTGTGACATAAGTATGTTAATTGTGCCATTTGATCAGGGTGGTGGTTTTTTCTTGGGCATGGTAATTTACAATAAGGTTTCCCTTTTGCAGCTACATGGAGAAGAGTAATTACCATAAACTCCAGAGACAATGTCCTGCATGATGCAGAGATTGCTGTTTCACATAATGTCTGTTTGATCCTTAAAGTATTGTAATTTCTTCTCTTCGTAACATAATTGACGATGCTTGGAATTGCGCCTCCGACTGGGTGGTGGAACTCCGATTAGAGTTTCTTGTAAAACAGAGCTTCAGGGCCTCCCGAGGGTAGATACTCCGGAACTTAAGTCAGAAAATAGGGTTGCGAAATAATGTGTATATGTGAATTGGTGCTAGAGATAGCGTGCCTCAATTGTGGTGGGTTCATCCCTATTTATAGGCATAAGAATACCTTAAGGGAACCCGAATCCTACTAGGGTTTAGCCATGCTGCCGCCCTATTGAAGTCGGTTGGGCCCTTTACTCGGTTGGGCCCTGTATATTGTAAGTTTTTTTCCTTTTTCACAAAGATTTAGATTTAATAAAATTTACGATGCTGAATTACCAAACATTTTCTTTTTTTTTTTTTTTTGGGCCAGCAAGTAGTAGCATCCTTGGTAGCATTAAAATCCACTTTGGTGGGGAGCTTTATGCCAAGCCATATCCAGTTTATTGGGGTGGTGCTTTCAGGGTCTTCGATAATGTAGATCTTCAAACAGTATCCTTTTGGAACTTACATGAAATGGCACAAAGGATTGGAATGCTCAACATTGTTAATTTTTACTCTTTATATGAAGAAAAAGGGGTGGAAAAGATTGTGGGAGACGGAATGTTTTTCCCCATGTGTCAAGGTACTTTGAACGGTGATAGATTAATCACGTTGTATGCGTTGGACTATCAGGATGAATGGTTCTTTGCTAGGAACGATGACTTCATGGATAGTGATCCCGACCTTGAATGGGACTCCGATAATGCGTGCGATTGTGAACAATATGGTGGCTGGAAGGAATACAATTCCGATGAAGATTCAGACTCCCAATGTTCATCTCAATGTTCATCTCAATGTTCTTGTACTGATTGTAAATTATTCCCTGATTTGACCTTTGGATTTATGGTGTATTATCGATATTTTTGTTCAGAAATGGAAACTTATCCTTGAACCATATTGGTGGCATATTATAGATTTTTTCGTGCCTTACAAATTTTACAGTCACTTTTCTGATCCTCTAGA